CTCCAGAAAATGAACTAAATGAAATGGAGCCAATCAAGCTACTAGATACAGAGTTCAGAATTATGGTTATAAGGATGCTCAAGGATCTTAGTAAGACTGCTAAGAAAACAAGTGAGACCATCGATGCCATAATAAAGTACCAGTCAGAAACGAAGGCTACACAAACTGAAATGAAGGGTAATTTATAGGGAGTCAACAGTAGAGTAGAGGATGCTGAGAATCAAATCAGCAATTTGGAACATGAGGAAACAAAAAACACCCAACCAGAAGAGCAAAAAGAAAAAACCCAGAATTATGAACATAGTGTACGGAGCCTCTGGGACAACTTCAAGAGGCCCTACATTCGTATTATCGGGGTATCAGAAGGGGAAGAAAGAGAGCAAGAAATTGAAAACCTATTTGAAAAAATAATGACAGAAAACTTCCCCTACCTGGGGAAAGAAATAGACTTACAAGTCCAGGAAGCACAGAGTCCCAAACAAGAGGAACCCAAAGAGGCCCACAGCAAGACACATCATAATTAAAATGCCAAAGGTTAAAAACAAAGAATCTTAAAAGCAGCAACAGAAAAACAGTGACCTACAAGGGAGCACCCATATGACTGTCAGCTGATTTCTCAACAGAAACCTTGCAGGCCAGAAGGGAGTGGCAAGAAATATTCAGAGTGATGAAAAACATGGAACTACAACCAAGATTGCTCTACCCGGCAAAGCTATCATTTAGAACTGAAGGTCAGATAAAGGGCTTCACAGATAAGAAAAAGCTAAAGGAGTTCATCACCACCAGACCAGCACTACAGGAAAAGTTGAAGGGTCTTCTTTACGAAGAAGCTAATGAACAAAAGAATCTGATGAACTAAATAAATCCAGAGACACTGATGCAGGCAACAGACAATCATATTTCAGAGGGAAGAGGGAAGGGGGGGTGGAGGGTGGGAAGAGACTAACAAAATAAGTTATATGCATATATGCATAACCCACGGACACAGACAATAATGGGGTGGAGGCCTGGGGAGGGGGGTGGCAGTGAGGTGGAGGGGGTCAATTGCGGGAAAAATGGGACACCTATAATACTTTCAACAATAACGATAAAAAATAAAGTAAAATAAAATATTATTTTCAAGAGGCTAAATAGGTAAAGTATCCAGAAAGGTAGAATGGGCACAACCTTAAAAAATTAAAAAAATCTAAGTAAGTGCTTGGGCAGTGGGAAAACAGTTAAGTATGTATAGAAATGATTTTAAATGCTCTTTCCTTCNGCTTGGGCAGCGGGAAAACAGTTAAGTATGTATAGAAATGATTTTAAATGCTCTTTCCTTCAGCAGGAATTTACTTTGTTCTATGCCCACACAGTTGGACACTAGCTCGGTTTTTGGATCTAGAGCAAGAGATGAAAATGATAGTAGCATATCCTTGACAATTTCTGTAGTGTTGACATCCTGTTCTAGTTCCTGGTATAGGGAGGAAACAAAGCACTGACAAAGGTACTGTTTGTCTCAGTCAGTGTAAGAGACAATATTTTGAGATTTCAGGTCAAATACTTCCTCCTAAAATGTTGTTTCTCTAGGAATTCCCACATACCCGATTCCAGTGAATTATTAGTCACTGCCAGTTATGGTTGGGAATGTGTGTGAGATCGATAGGCATGCTCTGTTGAAAATAACAAAACTAACTTGTGGCTTGAAATACCCTGTTTCTAGAGAACATAATCTATGTCAAAGAGAAAGTAAAAGACAATTCTTTTATGGTTCCACAATGGGAAAAATTCTAGTTTGAAGCAGAAAATGAAGATATAAATTTTAGAGTCATCATGGAGAAATATATCACTTACTTACCTTTTTTTTTTTAAACCTCACCCGAGGATATTTTTTTCCACTGATTTTTAGAGAGAGTGGAAGGGGCGGTGGGTGGGAGAGAGAGAAACATAGATTGTTTCCCTCCTGCATGCGGTACTTGAACCTGCCACCCAGGTACATGCCCTGACCAGGAATGGAACCCTTGACCTTAAAGAGGAAAGGATGACACTAACCCACTGAGCCATGCCAGTGGGGCTCATTTACTTTCTTATATGCTCATATTTGAAGAGCAATCTATTAATCATAAAAATAAATAAAAATTATATGTCAAAAGAATGCAACAGTCACTAGATATACCGCAGAGTTTGAGGCTATGACAGATGTGGTAAGTGCTAAGGTAAATGTGGTATCTTAAGATATGAAACCTTGACAATTTTATTTTTAATAAGAAATAATACTAAACATTATAACAGCACAAAGAGACCAAAACTTAAAACTTTCAAGACAGAACTTAAAATCTTTAATGATAAGTTTTTAAAATTGTTTTCAAGTTTGAACATTTTAGAATGGTGATGCTAGCTGAAAAATCTAACCCACAGGTAAAGTTAACAAAATGATTTAGGGAGGCTTTCAAAAATGGTTTTAGCTATCAAAACAATGTGCTTCTCTCAATAGTAAATAGAGTATTTTTAATGGTACGACAAGTTGATTCCTTACTCTAAAAACCGAATTTAGTAGAAAAAGGAAATACTATTTCTCTTTTTTACAAACATATATTTATAATTCCAATCCATTCCTTTTAAGGAAAATGTCCCTCATTCTCAGGAAGGATGGAGAAAGAGTATAAAACAAAATCCCTAAAAGATTGGGGCCATAATTTACCTTTGCTGAATACACTGTGTAGCAACAGCTACACCCAGTGGCCATATATGAGTAATGATGCTTTCTAGCTATAAGAGTAAAAGGTAAATTTAGAAACAACTATTTCAATTTATTTAAGGTTCTAGGGTAAAGGTTATCTTTCACCACAAAGTATGTTTTAAGGGAACACTCAGGAATCTCTGGGTGGAGGTGACAGACAGACAGACACAGGCCTTAGCTCCTAAGCTCAAAGCAATTATACAGAATAATTCCATTTAAAAAGCCGCTAAAATAAAACTCAAACCAGAGAGAACGTACAGATACTTTATTGCTCACCTTTCACACACAGCACACCTCCAGCCACTTTCTTTCACAGCTTGACAATGTTTAAGTACACAAAAACCCAGCGAGAAGCGTCATGTAGATTTCAGCAAAGGACAATGTAAAACATCAACTCAGCCAGGCTTTTGTTTTCTGCAGCAATAATAAAGGGCCTCCTGCACTAAGCAAAAATCTCTCCTCTTTCTCTGTAGTGCATTTCTTCCGTTACAAAAAAAGTCTCCTGCCCAAAGCAAACTAACTTGTATTTGCTGAGCCAGTGGTATTAACTCGTGCATAAAACAAATTTCAGTTTGCTGTTTCTTCTAGCAGATTTCAAGTAAAAATAGTGTTGAAGGAGGAACTTGTTTTGAATGAATGCAGGTCAGTTTGAATCGCTATACTTAACTAAATGCCTATGTGTACTATAGACTCACAACTTAGTTTGCTTTTATAATCTTGACGGATTTTGGCCGTGTTCAAGGTTTTCAGAGTTCAGCTTGTGGTATAATATTCCATCAAGAGAATAAGGCTACTGAATGTGCTATCTGCAGAAGAGCTCATTTAATAGGAACTGACCTAAAAGTTCTATCATGAAGCAAATGTGGCATAACCTCTCCAAATAAAAAACCAATCGGCAGAAACTGTGCTTGGAAAATAGACATTAGAATAGTATAAGGAAAACACATATAAATGGGTTAATATGAGGAAGGCTTCCTAGTTGTAAATCTAAAAAAATCTAGGAGAATCCTCATTTTCAAAACTGTATATTGAAAACATGAAAACTACTTATTCAAGTAACTTCTTCAAAAAAGTATGCATGTTCTGACTGTGGAATTAGTCTACTGGTCAATTAAAGGCAATTTTCATTACCTTTAAAAAAATTCTTTGTACAAAGGAGAGATGTGTGTTTCTCAAATAAACAGCATTATGTAAGTCCATTAAAAAAAAACCCAACAGAACTGAATGAAGACCTACAAATGCTTGTGCCAGGCAGAAATCTGCCTGCCACCTGTGGTCTCACATTCGAAATTCACACTGGACTCAGGATTCTTAAACTAAGTTTCTATTACTTGAGCTCTAGCAAAATGTAAGGTTCGGTAGCCTCAACTAGTATAATGTCTTCCCTGTCCAAATCCAGAGTGATTATACTGATAACCTCCGTGCTGGAAATGCTGTTCAAACTGGCCCCCCTGGTGGTAACTCTGCCCCCTCCCACCCCAGCCTCCTCCCTGGCCTCCG